CTAATAACACCATCACTTCTATATCTTCTTTACATATCTCTGTTTCTCCAACAAGTGTGCTATATTCAAGTTGTAATCGATCTCCCTGTTTTCCAAGTAACTGTATCTGGAAATAAAAATAGAATCTTTAATTTCATTATACATGAATATAATAAATCTATATTTTAAGCCCTATAAAATATAAACAAAGTAATATTTTGCCCAATAAAATTATTTGCAGTTTTTAAATCTTATTAACATTTAATTATTAATATTCTTTTAAAATACTTATTAACATCAAAATTATATAAATTGTTTGTCAATTTAATATGTGATGTTATTATTTTAATTCTATTCACGATTGTCTTAAAAATGAAAAATTTCAGCACGCAGTGCTGAAAAATTGGACATATATTTAAGTTTACACCAAAATATTTAAGAATTAAGATCTGCTTTGATCTAAAAATTACTCTTAATTATATTTATTCTTATCAGTCTAATCTTGAATTCCTATAAAACATACATCTCTTAAATTTATCAGGGAATATGCATTTTTATAATCATCAAAAATATATATTAAAATTATTTATATATAGTAAAATTATTACTTACCTGATGTTCCTTGTAATACAATAACAACTCCATTAGTACATTGAGCAGTGCATCGGTATTGTTAGGATTCCATTTAACAAGACTAGGTACCCAAGTAGATAAAATATCAATGTCTGGATCCATTAAAAAATTTTGATCATTAAATATGAAATCTGGACCCATTTCTGGATATTGCGAATTAAATAACACATTCCACATAAGGTGCTCCCCAGCATAAGGAATTAATAATTTGAAACAATCATTTTTGTTCTTATTGCAACTCGAAGATACTGAATCCAATTTTATCGGACCATAAGAAACACCTTTAAAAAATGTAATATATCCATAACAAAAATATCAATTTTATTATAAAGAACAAATAAAATAAAAATTAATAAACTTACCAAGTTTTTTAGTTTGTAAAACGCGTTTCAAAAGCGGCTCTATATATGAGTCTATGGTGCTCAACAAAGGATGTTGTTGATTTAGCATCTTATTGTCAAAACTGAAGAAACTATAATAACATAATCAAGTTGAATGAAGGAAATCAATATTCCACTATTTTACTTTGGATTTTGAACTGAACAGCTTTTATCTGGTAATATTCTATCTGGTAATATATATGCCTGAATGGGTTCCTGTTAAATATCATTCCCTTTCAAAAAACTGATAATTTTAGCAATTTAATTTTTTAAAATATCATATAACAGCTAGTGATTACTGAGAACTGATAAGAAGAAAGTAACTTCTCCAACTACTGTATTCCACAGAGGTTATATGTATATAATACAGAGAGTATTATTTGTCAATTTTTGGCCGATGCCGCTAGCGTTTTTATTTATTTTAATATTAATTATAGGTTAACATTAAATTTTAATCAATTCGTTGTTTCTTCTTTTTCGTTTATGAATATAAATGACAGAAACAGAACTGAAATATTCCATAAAATTCAATTAATATTAGGCTGGGTTCATACTTTGACGGAAAAGCAAAAAGCAGAAGCCAATCGGAACTCGCAGTAGATGATTTCTGAGGTTGAAATCGTGTTATCGCTATCGCTATTTCTTCGCATTGTGTATCTGGGGCTTTAATTCCGCAACTACAGATCCTATAATCTAAAGGCCATTCTACATTGGTCGTATCGACGTAGACGTCGCAAGTCACAAGCTTGTTATTTCAGCCAATCCGAGGCTTCAATTTTAAAGTCACATGATGCTTACGACGCTACGATGTAGATTCCTTTATTTTCCTAATTCCTTACTTTTGCTATTGTACGCAGGGTTTAAGTTGGGAAACATCGCTCTATATACATATAGGGATAGGAAACTGACCAATTCTAATCAAATATTCTCCTTATATTTGATTGTGATTGGTGGTTTCCTATGACTTAAGACCTCTATATGTAGAGAATCCTTTAAAAGCCCTTAGGGCTGCCGCAGACAAAATTTCTGTAACAGTAACCTTAAGAGGCTCCGCACAATGAAAGGAACAGGGAACAGAGAACAGAGAATAAGAATTTCAACCTATTAGAAATCATATATTGTGGAATACACAGTTTCTGATAGGTTGAATTTCTTATTCTCTATTTTATTATCTTTCCTATTTCTTTTATTGTGCGGAGTCCCTAAAACGTAAACTTAAACCGATGAATCAATTAGAATACTCCTTTAGATTTACATACTCTAACGGAAATAGAAATAGCAGTAAGAAATAGCGTTTGATTGGTCGAAATTCGCCCCGTCATACGCAATACTTCACCTACCACGCTCCGTATGTATGAGACAGCTGAGAAAATAAACAGATGTATATTTCACAGATATATATTTCAGGTTAAAGTCGAAATCAGAATCCACTGAGAAGAAGAAGGTCAAAGTCCAGCACTACATGGTTTTTCTGATTGTGACAGGTTTTCGGTGACACATCAAATATATTTGGAAAAAAAAACGTGTTAATATCATATCTCACACAATATGTTCCCTCTTCTGAAAAATTGCCTCGTCGCAAGACAAGGAATTGTCAATTATGGTATGAGATAGTCATTTTTTAAATAATCAATTAAATATTATATTTAAAGTGCAGGTTTATTGGTATAAAGTCCATAGAAAGTGGATATTAAGAATAGTATATTTATACTTGACTTTTCTCTTTCCGATATTAATTACATATAATTATGTTATTTTTATATAGTATGTACACACTTCTACAAGATTCAAAATTTACATTTATTTCTAATATGTTTTAAATAATATATGCTTGTATTTCGTGATATTTGCTCTGTATCATTTAATAAATTATCTGTATAAACATATTTTTATGTATTATTATTATTATCAGTAATATTTTTTTAATTGCTATTTTAGCAGAAGCTCTCACCCGTTATTCTGGAATTTCTATAAACAAGGCATATTCTACAAAAAGTGATAATGCTTCAAAAAATATTGTATATGTTGATGGAGTACGGACTCCATTTTTATACTCTGGAACTGACTATAAGAAACTCATAGCTTATGATCTAGCAACACATTCGCTGGTGTAAGTCATCATTGATATATTTCAATGTAAATATCACAAATATAATTCCAAATATCTCTTACAAAATAGCTTTAAGAAGTTCAATATTTTATATCTTATCTTTTATTGCAAATATTGATTGTCAAAGTAATTATTTTTATTATTTTATAGGAGCTTGCAAAAAAAGATTGGATTCCCCAAGGAAATAATTGATTATATTATTTATGGCACAGTTATGCAAGAAATCCGAACTTCCAATATCGGAAGAGAAGCTGCTCTAGCTGCAGGATATAGCGAGTACACTCCTGCACATACAGTAACGATGGCATGCATTAGCAGCAATCAGGCTATTACCACTGGCATGGGTTTAATCGCATGCGGTGTTTATGACGCTATTATAGCAGGAGGAGTAGAATTTATGTCAGATATTCCAATTCGATTTAATCGATCCATGAGATCTCTGATGCTGCAAGCCAATAAAGCAAAAACTCTACCAAATAAATTAGCTCTCTTGGCCAGTATCAGACCAAATCATTTCATACCAGATGTAAGTTGATGTATGATCTCTTTATTTATTTTTTTTTCAAGAAAATGTACTTTATATATGAATATTATATTCACAAATATGTGTAAAAATAATAATAAGAATTCTTTTCTTTTCTTAATTTTTTAAATATCTTACAAAATTTATGCCTGTGTAGCTACCAGCTGTGGCAGAGTTTTCAACTAATGAAACTATGGGACATAGCGCAGATCGTTTAGCAGCGGCGTTTGGTGTTACACGCAAGGAACAAGATGATTATGCATTGCGTTCTCATATTTTAGCTGCACGAGCACAGCAACAGGGACTGCTGTCGGACATAGTCCCTTATAAAGGTGGATTTAATATTAATATTTCAATATTTAATTTATACATTCATATTTTATTCATTCAATACTTACATATTTATATGTCTTGTTTTATTTTTCTGTATTGCAGTACCAAACGTTGATAAAGTTGTTGATAAGGACAACGGCATTCGCGTATCTACGGAAGAACAATTAGCAAAGTTGAAATCTGCATTTGTTAAACCTTATGGAACAATTACTGCAGCCAACGCATCTTTCTTGACCGATGGTGCGTCAGCGGCACTAATAATGAGCGAAGAGAAAGCTCTCCAACTTGGCTTGAAACCTAAGGCATACTTGCGAAACTTTATTTATGTGTCTCAAGATCCAGTTGATCAACTACTTCTAGGACCATTATACGCAATCCCGAAAGTATATAATTCCTATCATTATTACATATTATTTATGTAATTGAATAAAATAATTTATATAAATCACGCTTATAGATTCTGGATAAAGCAAAATTAACTATGAAAGATATAGGAGTGTGGGAGATACACGAAGCGTTTGCAGGAATGATCTGTGCTAATCTGAAAGCAATGGATTCTGATTTGTTCGCTCAAAAGTATTTAAAGAGGAGTTCGAAAGTGGGTGTACCAGATCTAAACAAATGGAATGCTTGGGGAGGATCCTTGTCAATCGGTCATCCATTTGGCGCCACTGGAGTACGGTTAGCATCGCATACCGCTAATCGACTTATTAAAGAAGATCAACAATTTGGAGTTATCGCGGCTTGTGCTGCTGGCGGACAAGTAAATAAAGATTTATGTTACATTATAATGCAAATAATTTTTATAAAAATCTTAATTAACTTTTATGATAATCTTAATATAAATTTTCTTTTCCTTTTTTGGATTTGTAATTTTGATATTTTTTTTACAGGGAGTTAGTATGATTATGGAACGATATCCTGGTGCTACAATCTAATTCCGCTTTTCGAGGAATGTACATTTGATAAAAATAGATATTAATTAATAGAGAAATAACGAAATAATATTTTTCTATTTAAGAGAGATATAAAATTGTGAAACTTTTTTAAGAAAGCAATTTTTTATTAGTTAGAAATTTATATACAGTGAGATAATTACATAAAAATCTCTTACAGAATATCAAATATAATTGTTCCTCTTTTTCTTAGTCGAGTGAATTATGCAGAAATGAAGGCAACAGATTTGCAGTTAAATGATGCCTCACGCCATGGTCTAATATATTCTTTATATCTTGGCAACCTTGTAACACACGTTGTTTGAGTGTTTCCAAACGTGACAAATGTAATCTCTGACCTGCCCCATGTGCTACTACTATCAAACCATTTCCATCCACTTCAATATCATTATTCGTTCCTGCTAATGCAACAACAGACAAAGTAACTCCTGGTGAACACTCCTCTACATAGTTCGCATCCAATACTCCTGTGGTTAACGTTTTATCTTCATCTTCTACCGATAGCTTATTAACAAGAGTTATGCTACAGCCGATGGCATAATTCTGTAATTAAAAATTTATTTTATGATAGTATGTTTCACATTCTATTTCAAAAGAACAAAATTCTCCTTAGATTAACCTTGATTGGAATTCCGGCATCAATCAATGCAAGCGTCGCAGCATTTACGGATGCACAATAATCACTGCCGTCAACCTGTAGAACTTCTACGAAGACATCGATCTGAGAGCGTGGATATAGTTCTAAGTGTATTATAGCCTCCATGGCATGACGTAATTGTGCCGACCTCTCTTGTGATTTCCAATCTCCTCTGGGTCTTCGCTTCCGTTCGCCAGAGGTAAAACTAAACACAGCCATGCTGTACTGACAATTTATGATAGCCTTTGTACTATTCCTTGATGCACTGCTTCTTGACTAAATCATAAAAAGTATATAAATATTGTATGGTGTCTCTCAAAATAAATGTCAGAATAATTCAGTAATTAAGATAAATATTCAGGCTAAAGAAATATCTTTCTTTAAAGAAATATTTCTCTTAAAGAAATTCAGTCTAAATAAATATACTTGTGCTTTAAATAGAAAAATAAGGTGATTATAGAAAAGTAAAAAATAACATCATGTGTACTTTCTAATCTTTAAAAGTTACAATTACAACTTCTTAGGTCCAGTTCCATCGATGTAAGATTAACTTTAATTTCAGTTCAATTTATTCTTTATCTTCTAATTCTAAAAACTAGAAAAAGATATAGAAAAGAACAATAAGTTAAGAAATATTGAAATATTAAACAGGTGGAACCAAGTTTTCAACTTCGCTTATAACTTCTCTCAATCAAAATAGATATAAACGTAATTACTAGTTCGTTTTTACAATAATTATGGAAATGTTTTAAAACTGATCTGTACCTGACGAGGACCGTACACCGCTGCTAGAACTTTCGTGTTGCCATGTTCTATATATGCACTACCATCGGCCTGCCCGAATACTCCCATCCGCATACGGATTTGCCTTAATTCCAACGCTCGTCTGCCGTCAACGCGAAGTCCACCTTGATCATTCTCTTGATTTGGCTCCATTATATCTTACTGATTGATGCTGATTGAAATGAGAGAGTTCCTAACTTTTAACACAATATTGTTTACATGCGCACGTGGTGCAAATCAGTGCAAGTTGCAGGTGCAGCAAATATTAGCGCTATCTATAGAGAAATTTTCAGTAGTGCGTTCGGCATTACAAAGCGGAGGCGTTCATTTGCTCTTTTACTTCGAAAATCGTTCGGCAACTCGCATCTTTCTGCTACATGTCATCTTATTTGCGTTCGGTATTAACATTTCTAGAGCCAATTGAGTTGTTCGATCCGGATTCAAAGACCGAGCAAAGCTAATGCAAATTTTCGTGCTTAAATTAAATTCATAACCTGTACATTTATGACAATGTATCCAATTGATTCGTTAACACATATATTTATCTCTTTTACACTTCTATTTACAAATAGTGTATTTGAACTATTATAATGTCTGAGTCTACAAACGCTCAAATAAATGCTATCAAATAGAAATTGATAGAGTACATTATATACAATATTTAACGAGGAAAATAAATTTTTAATTCTTTTCTTCTTTATAAATTTGAAGTTACGTATTTGAAAACAAAGAATTTGTTAATTAATTTTCGGATCAAAGCTTATGTTGCACATATAGGCTATGGTCAAAGTCTCGCTACAAATGCTTTGAAGCATTTGACAGACCAATTAGAAGAAAGAATTTTACAAACTGATCAGTTAAAAAATGCTTCAAAGCGTTTGCAACATCGCGTGACTATATTCATAGAATGAAATAAAATCAAACTGCATTAATATATTAAAGACTCTAACGAATATAAATCAAGTGATATAAATTGTTGAAATTTATTTTGCAATATAGTATTTTCTTTTAAGAAAACACTTGTGTTGTTGGCGCGTTGAGCGCTGAAAGTTGGCGCTTTGGGATCTGGAAAACCTACCTAACAATAATCATTGGTAACCAGAGAAAATCAAGAGCTGGAAACCATTGTTTGTTGGAGTGAGTAGAAGATATGATAGAAGCGTGATGGAACATATAGTGCTACATACTAGTATTGTACCGTACTAGGCTTCCGTTTCACGTATGATGTGCATGCTGCATTATTTATCCTTGTTATTCACCGAATGTTAAACAAGAGTAAATGATGCATCATGCGCATCATGCGTGAACCGGAACGCAGCTCTAGTATTATGTGTGTGTATATATGTACATGCACATTTCCAGAAGTGAGCGGATAAATGGTTGAACCAATCAGAGAAGAGAACGCTATCCTTTCATTCTCCCTTGATTCTCTTTGCTGGTATCACCAGTAACCACGGTCCACGTAATCGAGAATCCGTAGTTCTACTTCTTGTTCTTTTGGCCGGTGGATTTCTGATTTCTTGTAGAAGTACCACACTTCCAAATAAAGATCACTGGGCTGAAAAGAGCCAGTCAAATCAGTGCATCATTATAAGAGTGCGCAGTTACTAGTAGTTTGCTATCAAATGAGATCTAATCTTGAATCTAATCTTATTTGATTCAATTTTGCATTTACGACTAATGAAATTAATTTATATTAATTTATATGAATTCTTTGATCAGAAAAGATTGTACGATAAATTACTTGATTATTTTATAAATACATTTTAAGCTTTAAAAAAATTGAAGTAGAAATTGAATGAAATGATTAATATTTTGGGTCGAAAATTTGCTGCGCTTTTTGAAATATGTTCGCAACATTGTTTATAAACAAATATGAAATATTATAAGGTATTTAATTTATGTATTTGGAAATGAAGAGGATTAAAATTGTGCCAGATAGGCCGAATCGTTTATTTGAAAGCTGGTTAGAAGAATGGAGGAACGAAGCGGTGCTCCGAAATTCAGAGCTACACAATCATTTTGCGAAGGCTTTAGACTCGTTGAAACGATATCCACTACCATTGGAGTCTGGTAAGGAGTGCATAATCCTGCAGCACTTTGGTACAAAGCTATGTTCGATGCTGGATAAAAAGCTGGAGGAGTACAAAAGACAGGAATCCACCACAGTAGTTGATGATTGTGTCTCCAAGTCTGGCAGTAACGAAGATTATACAGTCATGTCGAGAAAGAAACTTGTAGAAGAATGTCAAACAGTTGAAGTACGAGAAAAGACAACAGTGTCTAAAAATATCAAACAAGCTAAAAATATTAAAAAGAATATACTGGAAAAATTGGTAAATGCAAATGATATTGGACCGAAGGAAGCTGATAGACAAATTTCCTTTGAACCGAATACTTTTGATATTATATTATTGGTGGATACTCAAGAAACTTGTGGGTGAGTATTTATGGTACGACTGCGATTTATACTATTAACATAAGACGCTTTTTAGCTATGTGGGATATATTCTAGTGGGAAAACAAAGCCTCAGCATGATGCTACGATCGCAGAGTTGACACAGCTTGATGTACTGTTCGAAATACGTCGTTTGAAGATTGGTGATTTCGCGTGGATAGCCAGATGTCGAAAAACTAATGATGAATTAATTGTGCCTTACATAATAGAGCGGAAGCGAATGGATGATTTAAGTGCAAGCATTGTGGACGGAAGGTTTCATGAACAAAAGGTATTATAGAAATTAATTACTTTTTAATATATTCTTGATTTTCTTGGATATTTGATTATGCATACAGTCTTTCTTTCTATATTTCAGTTTCGATTGAAGCAATCTGGTATTGAAAATTTGATGTATATAATAGAAAATATTGATAAGAATTCCCGATATTCTGTACCGCTCTCATCATTGTTACAAGCCTCTGTAAATTGTTTGGTACAAGACGGCTTTACTGTAAAATATACAAGGCATCACAAAGATTCTATGTTACACTTATCATGTATAACAAAGATTTTAATCAAACTTTATAAGGTATGCAAAAAATACTGTATAATTATGCATATAAATGTTTATTAATGTTTATAGATTTTATATAAATAAATATTTTATATAGATAAATAATAATTTTACATTAGGATAAAAGACTTGTTGGATGCAAGAAAGAACTTCTTATCCAAACAGACAATGTAGGTAGCGCAATACGTCTTATGGAGTTCAAAGAATTCAATAAAGCATCGTCTAAACAAAGAGTATGTAAAAATTTTCTACGTGATGTCTATAAAAAATGCTTAAATTTATCAATATTATTTCCTTTCAGACATTCAAAGTGAGCGAGATGTTTATTCGTCAGTTATTACAATTGAAAGGCATGTCCATCGACAAAGCCATGGCAATTGTGGAGCGTTATGCCTCACCGCAAATTTTAATTACAGCTTTGAGGAATTCTGGTAAGAATGGCGAACAATTATTAGCAAATATTCAAGTTGACAAGAAACGACGACTCGGGCCTGTCATCAGTAAGACCATTTATCAGCTTTACACAATGAATGAGTTAAGATGACTAATAAAAAGGCACAATTATATCTTTTTACATGTTTATCCAGTCAAAAATATTCTATCTTTGCATATATTTTTTACTATCATTATTAAAACTTTATATATTTCTAAATAATCAATAAAAAAGATAGTGAGTCGACTGAAAAGTAATGCAGTCGTACGTAACTCGTAAACGAGAAGAGATATTTGAATATAATTGAAAGGAATGAAAGTGCATTTTATTTGCTACAAGAATGTACCATTACTTTCCAACGTAATTATTGTTTACAGCTATACATTTCTCTCAACGATGAACCAATTTTCTCACTCGATCAATGAAGAATTTTGACTTTCCTTGGTCCATTGTCTTTTTCACTTTATCCAAAAAATAAATCCTAGTGACATTGTCATTTACGAGCCATTTATAGTGATGAAACTGTTCATTAAAGTGAACTGTGAGGTGTGATATAAAATTTCGTGTGTCGGAAGCTGATGAATTTGGCACCCTGCGATTTTTACTTCTTTCCGAATTTAAGATCTTAAGGGCATTCATTTTACCGTGAATGATGAAGTAAAATCGTGGATTAAGGATTTCCGGAATTCTTCATTGACTGGATGAGAAAACTGGTTTACCATTGGAAGAAATGTATAACTGTAAATGATTGAAAAATAATGGTACGTTCTTGTAGCCAATAAAATGCATTTTCATGCTTTTTTTTTGTTTTATTCAAATATCTTTTTTCGTTTAAATTACGTGTGACTTTGCATTACTTTTCAGCCGATCTACGTATCATGATTTTTTAATAAAATTTTTCAAGAATTATTGTAAAATAAAATAATTGAAATCATACTTAAATGTCCACTTGCTTTTTTCAAATAAGCAGAATATGATACTGCCTTTACATTTCACGACTTAAATCACAAATATATGTTAGTTTTCACAAAAAATGTAAAAAAATTATTTTCATTTGTACTATCGGAACATTGTTTAAAAAAATAGAAAAAATTTTGAGTGGAAAAAGCCTGAAAAAAATGTGAGAAAACATAGTTAGATTTACAATTTATCTGTGAACAATTAATTTATGTTATGTGGGTTAGCAATTAATTATTGACAAAAATGCACGGGACACATATTCATGAAGATATAAGTGTCAGCACATATCGCACAAAAATCATATATACATATATAAATTATTAATGCATAATATAAACTGTATAAGAACTCTCGAAATTCGACAAAAATATAAAGAAACATGGAGCTATGAGAGTTTGGCGCGGTAATTAGGCATTTCTACATTTTTCTATATAATTTATTCGGACTTTCTATGTGCTGAATCCGTTTTTGTTGTGTGAACTGCTACCACTCGCGAGATAAGTTTTATTTTTTCCAAAATTTCCTTCTAATTGTTACAAACATTGTCTTCGTTAACATCTGATTTTAATATAGGATGAATATTTCGTTTAGTCTTCCAAATGATTGGATAATGAAATTTTGTTTTGATCTACTTTCGTCTTGTCTAGCACGATATGCAATTTCTTAATCTTCGCGTTTTTTTGTCGCCGACGAAAGCTTAAATATTAGAGCTGAAACGTACGAGCAAAATATTGTAAGATTCTTAATGATTAAATTTTATTTGTTGAAAATTATTTAATCTGCGCACTAATTAAATAATTTTCATGCCGGACTCTCATATAGCGTTTTCGGTCCGATTGGGTTTGCACCAATCCTGGGTTAGAAAATGTTTCGCTATTGATTGATGTTATTACTACAATAGGAGAGCATGAAACATCATTATTTCAACTCAGATTAATGCAAACTCGGTCGGGCCGAAAACGCTAATACCTTCACATTTCTTTATATTTTATTTATATTAATGTATATTATTTTATTGAAGAAAGCAATGATTTCATTTGCTTTTTCATACGATTTCATTGAACATTTGAGCGGATTTTGACATACGATATTATGTAAAATTGTACGATCTATCTGTGTAGAAAGAAAAGGCTGCTTGTTATGTTAAAAAATATGCATATGATATGCCTATGACTTGATATATACAATTAATACAATATTATAATTGACCTGGAAGTTTTTCGACTATAATAATATTGATAATAAATTAAAATCGCGAAATTGTCTCTTTTATTATGATACACGACAAATTCTGTTTCAAGATTGTGCAGAATTGATCATGTCGATTACTTGTATGTTGCTGAGACGAGTGAAACTGTTTTATAAATAATTTGAAAAATAATATTGATATCGAGAAGCAGTGTATGTACCAGTATATGAAATTATTATCATACAATACATTTGTCGCGTCTTGAGTCTCAAATATCTATTTTCTTCAAGTCACTATTTTCATCTATACCCGAATATGAATTATAGGTAATTGCCTTGCAAGAGTCATCCTTTTTCCCTTATATATTATCATACACATGTTCGCGCATATACAGAGATCGCCAGTAAAATGTTTCTTCGTATATCTTCATCTCTTAAATTACAGATCGATCGTAAAATTATTACGTATTTTACCTAGCGATACAAAGTTCCTCGCGGACATATAACTTACATCTCAGAATATTTAAACGAATATGTATCTTAATTAACATAAATGTTAAACTAAATATTAATCGGCCTATAGGCCAGTATTCAGAGTCGCATCTTATATTAAGACCGTCTTAAGTACAATTTTATGATGTCATAAACCAATCAGAGAGCTGTATTAGCATATCTTAAGATATTACTTAAGATGGTCTTAAAATATAAATAGAGCATAATATGGTTCATAGAACTATAAAAATAGAGCCATCTATATAAAAATTAATAATATAATTTTATCGATTTATCTTCACTTGTCAGTTATTGTGTTATAATGTTATTCATTATAACTCAAGTAAACTTACCGAAGTATTACACTCCGATTTTGATGAGTTTTTAGTATGTTGTTCTCCAGACAAATAAGCGTATTTTTTTATGTGCTCATACGCACTTTTAAGAGATGAAACACTCCTTTGAAAAAAATCTATTAAATCCTGATTTAACAAAAATCCTGATGAACCTATATGAATTAAGTCCTCCCTGCAAAATCCGATTTCTTGCAAAATTAATCTTTGAAATTATTATAACTTAATATTATTATACATATTATTATACACATTATTATACATAATAAAAGTGAATAAATCTTTCATTATGCTAGTATTTAAAATACTACATATAGTCGGTTCTAATTCAGATCCTCTGTGGGGGTACTCGGCGTAGACATGGGGATAGGAAGGAGTAACGCGGGAAAAATCCCCGGTCAGCGGTTACTTTACGTAAACATAGGATTCCAATCGGTTTACGTAAACATTACGTACTTACTGTGTTACAAATGCAATATATAATGGATCATATAAACGCACAGTTGATGCTTGGAAGATTACCAAATCGATCGCAATAGAAATAATGGAAAATGCAACGATAAATAATCCTAAGCAATTTCGTTATAGCGAAGGATGCTTCTCAGTGTCAATCTATCAGTTTGAGCTGAGAGAAAACAAAAGCGATTTTGCTTAAAAAAAAAGATATGCGACTTGCATGAACAACTCAAAATAAGTTATGAGTATCCGATTCAAGGAATAAGTGTTTTGTGCGCGCGCGTGTGTGTGTGTAAGTTTTTTAAATAACTAATTAAGTTTTTATTATTATTTATTAGTTTTAATTTAGTTTTACTTTTTTTTTTCTCATGATTGATAATGAAAAAATTGTGAAGATACCTTTGCGAAACGAGCTAGTGCAAGTGATTTCTTTGGTAAGTTCATGAATTATAGAGTATTTTATAATCCACTTTTTTTATAATCCACTTTTTTATAATTCATTTTTCAGAACATATGGCGTAACGAGCACATTAGGATACAGAGCTTCACGACGCTTCATATGCAAGAGTGGCGATGGTTTGGCTTCTTCTTCTTCTTCTTTTGTGATTAATGGCCCTGGTCTTCGTTGACGAGATAAACTCTAGAGACGAGGTAAACTCATATTAAAGAGATATGTTTAAACTTTTTCGAACTTTTATGAGACGTTGAAAAAATTGATTCGATTATATGCTTGGCTAGATTTTTAATATATCCTTAAACATATATTTAAAACAAAAAGATTTTTTTCTCGCTAGTTATATTTTTTTAGAGATAAGAGTTGCGATCAAAGTCACAAATGCTTTGAAGCATAGCATTGATTGACCAATTAGATGAAAGAATTTTACTATTTTACCAATCAAAGAATGTTTCAAAGCATTTGTAGCATCACGTTGATCGTACTCATTCAAGATTTAATAAAAAATCGTTTGTCTTTCTTTGCTTTTTGAATAAATATGTCTTCGGAATATCAACCGACTAAGTCTTAACTTATATGTGTATGTATAATGTATTATTGATTTTTAATTCAGATATGAATTCTGTTCATTTTCTTACCTTTTTTCGTTGAAAGTTTTAGTGAATATATATTTTATATACATTAACGTAGACTTATAGATATAATAACATAGTGGATCATAGCGTTCCGTTTTGCGCTTACACTGCTTACAATATGCTTGTAAGCATCATTTATCCTTATTTAATATTTGATAAACAACAAAAATGAACTAATATTTATAGCATGAAAACGTACCCATCAGCATTCTATTTATATAGAAGTAAAAATTGATATTACTTTTATATTCAATGTAGTATATTCAATTACCAGTAATGCGCAAAATAACTACGCTTAGTAAGATTTCCAACAGTAAGCAAAAATAATTAAAAAATTAATAAAAATCATGAAATTTTCTATTCCAATATGATATCGATATGAATTCTGTATAATAATCAGTCGGACTCATTTGTTCGCTATTCAGATGCATATGATGGATTATTTGAAAAAATTAATGTTTGTATATTATCAAAGTATACGAAATTATTATAATTGTACGAGACATTTTTCGAGTTTTCAGTTTTAAGTATTGTTCTTCTTTTATTTTGTATCAGATGTGAAATATAGTAATTCTCGATACACAAGAACCTTTTTCGTTTATACATAATCAAACACCCATTTTCGCGCATTGTTTTAGAAAATTGTTATCGAAAAATGTCAATAAAATGTTTTTTTCCATGCATCCTTATTTCGAATAATTATAAATAGATTGTCGAATTGTTACATCCTTTCTTTAGCACATAAAATTCATCTCGCATTTCAAGATAATTTGCATCTCAAAATAATTTGAACAAATTTGTAGCTTAATAATTAAATACGCAACGTAAATACACAGAAGCAAGTGTAATAACGTCGATGCTACTGTGAATTGAAGGAAAAATTCAAATTATGGATATGTTGGATTTTTGTTGCATTAAAGAGATACGTTGTAACTTAGCGATTTTGAGTGCATACTTGATGCGCCAAATCATCACTGCATTGAACGGAACACAGTAAGATAAGACAGAGAAGTTTTTACAACCTTTAAAAAATAAAAGATTTTTCTTGATAAATTACGCTTATGACAATAAAAATTAAAAACACGGTAATGCAGTTATATATTTACCGTGGCAAAGTTATCGATGGATAGAATCATTAGTTTACTAGCTGTTATTCTGCAAGGTATTACTGTTTTGTACATCATTAGGAGCAGAAGTTTTCGACATCTTTGTGAAGTATAATACCAATTGGCCCTGCAGCTATTATGTGAAACAAGAAAAATTAAAATAATTAACGATAAATCTAGCAAATATTTGCATTTATAAGTTTTTGTCTCGCCATCCAAACATAAAAAGAAAAATTAATTAATTGTCTCGTATATGCTACATATAAAAAGATTATTTATGGCTTATAGCAATTGTAATTAATATGCCTATAACAAAGAAAACTATACATTTTTATTTGAGTTTTCCCTCGAAAGCTTAAAAAAGAAAAGAGAAAAAGAAAATTAGGTAATTAGATTACTGACTTGGATTCATTCTTACATAGATTCATATGGGAGGACGCTGTAGTCAAGTAAAAATTGACCTTGCCAAAAATGAAGAAATAAATGAATAAGTTGTGCAACGTAGATAGTTAAGGGTCCAATGATGTCATTTGCGCCTTTATCTAAATTCATTAGCACCTAAAATACACATGACTTATTTTTGTACTTTTTTTGGCTATCGCATTGATAAATTTATCGATTACTAAAAATTGTTAAAGATGGTTATTTATTAGATTATTTATAAAGATTTTTTTCTCAACAATTTTCTGTTTGTTATCGTCGAAATATAATAAAAATGTTACTAAAATTTATTATTTGTAATATAAATTTATTCTTATTTATTATATCAATAGAAAAGAATAACTGATACATACTTGTATACCGGATATACTGCTAACAATCATATTTAAGTTAAGAGTCATCAGAAATATTTTTGTAAATAACGATTCGATATGCTCTGCAAATCTGTAAAATGGAAACACTAAACGATAATTTGTAAATTAATATGTAAATACCAATATCAATGACAAAAATGTATGTAGATATTACATGAATTTCATACGTACTCTATCACAATGATATGTCTACGTAAACAATGTAAAGTTTTACTATAATTGTCGTCTTTTACTTTGATTGATTTCACATCAAAATTTTCCTCGTTATTTTTACCAATGTTCTCCAGTGTGTTTCTGTAATGCCAGAAATATATTTTTGGCAAAAATCGAGATTTCGAGATTATATGAGTCATCGAAGAAATTGATTACAAGAAGAACATTCCTGTTTTTTCATGATTAAAAGAGATTTTTCATGATCAAAAAAGCTTACCCAATAATCGAGAACATTCCACAAGCATGCTGAATTAAACTGTAGTACAATCCATCAACGGCGATTGTGGCAAACGAATGAGCGACTACGGCCACATAATTATGCACTGCTATTGGATATATATATTGATTGAATTTTTCGCCGTACTCTACATGGAAGGGTAATCTCGATGCATATGTTATAGAAGATTTTGTCAGATTGAAGACATCATTCGCTGTCAGAGTCAGCACGATTGGTTTAAGCATGAAAAGGCACGCGGTCGTGTGCATGAAAACTAGGAAATGTATACATTGTATGCAAGATTTTCAAGCATATATTGATATGTTTAAAAAAAAATTGCAAAATTTTTGCAATTAGTATATTTTTTATGCAATTTTTCTTTAAGGGGAGTGACCAAATTGTCGGAACATTGCATTCGATATAAATCTCCGAATTTATTCCTGAACGGAATAAAAAATTCTTTTGTAAGATTAAAGATACAAAATTTGGAGATGCTGCAGTGGACTTTATACTTAAAGTGGAATTAAAAAGATATTATAATCAAATCAAATTAAATATGGTTCTTATACCGAGTAAATATATGTTTACATTAAATAAATATTTAACATTATTCAAATAAATATTTAAAATTTAATACACAGTTTTCTCTCAGTATAAAATCGTGAGAAATATCCAGAATGCACACTTACATACATGTGCGTTCAAAATGTTTACATAAATTTTTACAACTTCAAAATTCTACACACCTGCATAAGATGTTTCCAGATATTGTCCAAACTTAGTATGCCGTTCCAAAATAATTTTTTCTACATTCGTATTTAATGATAGCCAGTCCTTTTGTATTATGTTAAGACAAATCTTTAACTAAACAAATGTTCGTATGTTTCTTATTGTCAGGATGTCTTTAAATAACAGCATTATTCATCTTGAGCAGGTCTAAACTGACTAAACTGACTAAATAATAGAAGACTAAAAAGTCTTCTATTATTTTGCAATTTTTGTAATGATTAACGAAATATTAATTACTAAAAATCGCTAAATATATTGGCCTAATAATTTTTTACTTAAATACTATCAACTTTACAGAAAAACTGCAAGAGAACAAAAAAACATTTATTTTTTTCTCATAGAACTCTACGAATTTTTTCAGAATTTTTTATTAACTTTTTAGTATTGCATTTTCTTACGTTTACCAACATGAGAAAATACGCTATTAAAAAATTCTAAAAAAATTCTGAAAAAACCTCAGAATTTTATGAGAAGAAAATAAATAATTTTTATTTTTTACTATTTTTTCTATAAAAATTGATAGTATTTGAGATAAAATTATTGAAGATCAATATTTAGTAATTAATATCTCGTTAACTATTGCGAAAATTACAAAATAGTAAAGGACTTTAAACTTTCCGATTCAGTTTAGTTCGTTCTACCTGCTTAGGATGGATGATGTCGTAATTTAAGGTCACCCTGCATATTTATACAAAAGTAAAAATTATTGAAAGATTATTGAAAGATTGAAAACTCATTACTTACTTTCTCACTATTTAACATTATGACCAATATTTTGAAACTGAATAATATGCTAATGAATATCGATGGCGCACACTCGAATACGTCATCGAGAGTGGTCGAGCCGATTAATAAATAAAGTATCTATTGGATTGTCCGGAAAGTTCGTGCCAATTTTGAAGGAAAATTGAAACGCAGAAGATTTCAATTTTTAATTTCATTTATTAAATTTAAATCTTTTGTAGATAATTCAATATATTAGATTTAAACGCAATTACGAATTGATAAATTGAGCATATTTTTCTAAATTTGAAATGACTACATAGACATATGTTTATTTTTTCATAATTTTCCACATACATTTAATATTTTCATTTTTCTGATAAATTATATTAAAATATTTGTTTTTAATATAGTTTCTCTTCTTTTTCTTCTTAAAATTAAATTAAAGTGATATCTTTTAATAATTTAATAAAATTTTACATATATATATATATATATACGTTCACGCATATATATGTGATTTTCATTACCTAGTTTAATGAGTAAACTGTAACTATATTGATATATTAAATTCTTAACTTCTAATCATACAAAAAAAGAAAATATATAGTAATTTTGCAGTGCAAGAAATAGATTATAGAATATTCTTTTCTGGCAAATCTTTTAATGAATATACCTGAGGTATCAGTATAGTAAAGCTAAACACAAACAGTGACACAAAGCGAATACATCTATCGCGAAGTTTATGATACGGCCATAATCCTGAAATAGTCAGATATAATCTAAGAACAAAGTAATAGCGGCTTTGACAAACGTCTTCCTTGTCGTTCATTTTTCGGAATATTAAGATTGCGAACTCTATTAGCGATTCAATGCAAATGTTTGACATTCGAGAAATTGCGAAAACTTACTTATCAATTCTATCTATCTTCTGTTCCGTAATAGTACCGTAATTACGCTAAGGTATAAGTTCCTCCATTTATTGTATGCGTTTTAGCAGTGTCCTTTCTACATTATAAAGCTAATACCTTATTGTTTCTCTCTGAAAGGACATTTTCCTTTACTTTCATATTCTGTTTTCATTATTGTGAATCAGTTTCAAATGTACCTCTTAACACATTACGTGAATTTATCTCGTGCGGGAAAAGATAAAATTTTGTCTGCATTCGAACAATGGAATGATTGCAAAAAGTAAATAGCAGATATGATAAATTACGTAAGAATATAAGATATTATTATTTCGATTCAATTTAGAAAATTTTTACGAACTTCAACGTTTATGAGTAAATTTCTGATTTGAGTTTGATTTGAGTAAAGTTGAGATAACATAGAGATGAAAGATAATTCTTAAAATTCAGATCTTGATTATGGATCATCCGTCCGCTTTTTGGATAAATACTTTCCGGATTAAATTAGTTATATCTGTACGATAATAAATAATTAATTAACAATTAATTTATATGTATATATATATAATTATGTGTTAATTACAGATATAAATAATTCTTTTACTTTCTTACCTTTTTTATTGAAAATTTCAATGAGTTTTATGTTATGTTAATGTAAATTTCTAGATACATAAAGTTGCATGACATAAAAGTAAAAATTGATGCTAGTTCTTATGTTGAAATGTATTATGCATTCAATTAATGCGTATAACATTTTTATTTTGTACGTTCAAGCAAGTTTTTCAACAGTAAGCAAAACAATTAATGACGAAGATTTTTTTATTTCATGATGATGACATAAATTCTGTTTTAAGATCATAATGTTTGCATTCATTTATTCGTTCGGATCTATTCGTTATTGAGACGCATGACATTGTTTACAAAAAAATTTTTAAATAGTTTTTACATGATCAAAGTTAACGTGTACAAAGTTGTGGTACAATACATATTTTGAGTGTTCAGTCTCAAGTCTCTTTCTTTTTTAATTTTATATCAAAATACATACATGTGAAATTATAATTGCTAGTGTTCAAAAACTAATTAACCTTTTTCGCTTGTACTATAATCAAATATATTTTTACACACATTGTTACACACATTGTTACAAACACACGTGTATTGTTACGGAAATTGCAGTAAAATGTTTTCTTATGCATCTTTATTTATAATTATACAATATATAAGTTGTTGAATTGTACATCCTTTTTCTAGATTATAAAATTCGCCTACAACTTGCATCTCAAAATATGTACAAGTATAGCTTAAATGTGCAACATAAGTGCACAGAAGTATGTGCAATAACTGTGTAATAATACGTTGATACTATCCAAGTGAAACCAAGAAAAATTCGAGTAAAAATCTAACTATTAATAATTATATATTAATAGTTAGATTTTTGTTGCATTAATCAAGGAATTCAGTCATTTGGGATATTTTTATATTTCAGCAGCGAAAAAAATGTTGCAAAATATTGTTTTATATTGTTTAGCATATTTTTTCCTGTTTTAATATTTATTCTTTACCTTTAAATATGCAATTCCATCGAAAACCTGATTTTTGTGAACTTAGCACTCGATTTTTTATTAATTAAATTTGTTTTATACTATAAAAAAATGTGATAATATTTCATTTGTAGTTGTTTGCCAATTTTTGACCGGAAAATCACTACATAACAAACAACTACAAACGATTCTGAATCAAGATACATTCAAAACTTTTTTTACCTTAAACTCGGGTGACAGTCATTTAAAAAAAAATTTTATTATATTTTTATTATATGAAACTACAAATAAAACTATTGTTACTACAAACAATTGTTATTACAAACGAAATACTATCATTTTTTATAAAAAATTTAATTTATAGAAAGTCGAAGAATGCTACGTTCACAGAGGTGAAAACCTGTGCAAAAATGCATTATAATAATTAAAATCTTTTAGATATATTGCCATAACTATACTTAACGTTTATTCCGTTTAATATTTGTTTAGTTTTTATTTACTTTTTTTCAAAAAATATGATTAAATCTATATCCATAATATTCATAAATGATAATATAAATCGGAATACAATATATTGTTGATAATATTGATAGAGATATAAAAACATCCCAGGTGATTGTTTATATAAAAAAAAGAGGTGACTCGGGTTAAAGAAATATGTTTTTAATTTAAGAAGTTTTTGAATAAATATTTAAATGCGCTAAATCATCATTGTATAGAACGAAACAAGGTAAGACAGAGAAGTCTTCACAACCTTTAAGAAATAAAAGTTTTTTCGTAAACTGCGATTATAATAACAAAAAATAAAATACAATAATGCAGTTATATGTTTACCATGCCAAAATTATCGATGGATAGAATCATTAGTTTACCAGCTGTTATTTTGCAAGGTATTACTGTTCTATACATCATTAGGAGCAGAAGTTTTCGACATCTTTGCGAAGTGTAATACCAATTCGTTCTGCAGCTATTATATGAAATGAGAAAAATTAAAATTAAAATGATTAACGATAAATCTAGCAAGTATTTATAATTTATACTAGATTTCTATCTTGTTATCCAAACATAGAAAGCTACAAAATCTGTTTTTTTATTTGCTTGTGTACATATAAAGGGTCAGTTGTAGTAAAATTAGAATTAAAGTAGAATTATTAATATGCGATTATTTGTAGCAATTATAATATGTCCAAAATATAAAATAAACATACACTTTTATTTAAGTTTTTCTTTAGGGCTTAGAAAAAAGAAAGAAAAAGGAGGTAATTAGATTACCGAATTGAATAAATTTACATTCTTACATAGATTCGT